TTATCGACTAAGGTAAACTCGTAATAGCCTCAAGCATACTAAGTGACGAACTTATCACCTTCTTATATTATATAATATAGGCTGTGATACTAGATTTCATGTAAGCCAGCATTGTCCAATAAAGAATGTATCTCTACTATTAGTGTTGTGCAGTTCCCAGTTAGATCTAGTTAATAGTAGCTGTAGAGCAACTTACTCGATAGAATTCAGTCAATGCTAAGTTCCAGATGATAGAACCTTGTTTGACATCCAGCGATCACTCAACTCATCTTATAGGAAGTTAGCTATGGTCTATGGCATTGAATCATATTCCTTCCATCATGATCAAAGACGTGCCCCAGGAAGTGAGTGGTAATTAGACGAAACTGACATTTATCCACTGATTTCTTTAAATGAATAACAAGTAGCCTAATACACATACTTATAACATTGATGAATGATGCATCATACTTTATTTCAGTATGTATAAATCGTTTAGTATGCAAAATTGATACTGAACACAATAATCCTGATAGGAAGGAGTTTTACTTATGTTTTAATCAGAAAACCAGCAATAAATTTGTTCAAATTTTAGGGAATATGCTGCTTTTGGTCCAAGATCTGATTCGCTTCCATTTCTGTATAATACATTTCGGTTAACTTCATTTATGTGACGATGGTAATCAAAAGCCCAATATGGTTTTTGTACATTCACATGAGCAGATAAACAATAGAATGCGAAATGAATCATTGGAGAAGGTGAGTGTGCCAACTCACTGTGTGTTGAAGCATCATAAGTGACAATTGATATAATCAGACAAAAATAAGTCAGATATGCGATAAGCGAAGTAAGCGTTGTGCACATATACACTCAAATAACAACAACTAAGGTTATAAGTGAATAATAGACAAGGTGGAATAACGTCGAAATAACTCGAGGAGGAGGGAATGTGGCGCGAGCTACTTATAAGTAGTATATGACGTGAGTGTCAACCTAATGTCTGGCAGCAGAAGATGGGGGAAGATCAAGAAATGAAGAGTTAGAACACAATGGAATTTGTATGAAACGCATGAATAGTGACAATGGATTGATGTTTTGCAACAGGAACAGTCCAGTTCGATATGATGAACTGATATTTTGCAAATTAACGATTTACGATATGGTTTTCCGATTTTACTGAGTAACTCTGTAATTTTCGTTAAATACAATTCGGTTGCCCTCACATGTGTTCTCCTTCACTACAGGATTAGTGAATTTCTTAAAAGGCTGGAATAAGCTATTTAGGCTCAATATATCAATCAATACACAGTACAACGTGTAACTTACACTTGTGATCACATGCAAACATGTCCGGTTGGCTGAATCAAGTGAAGATGGTGGAGATGTTGGACAGGATATTACTGCATTACTTAAATTCTTACAAATAAATGAACTGATTGGTATGGTATTATTAATGAGCGAAACTGATTCTGAAGTAGAACTGTCGTTTTGAACAAGATTTGATATTGGTAATCGTAAGAATTCTATTCCATCCGTGTATGTTAAAATACTTGGCAGTTTTTTACAACTTGAAGAACCATTATCGGTGAAATTCAACACCCGAATACATGTAGTTGTGACATTATTTAAGAATTCTAAAATGAAATGTTTTAATGGCCGTAAATAAATGCAATATGTTTTATATCAATTAGATGCTTTCAAGCAATTTTACAACCTGACACATCAGCCTGAGTTGTTGACACAAATTCATGTCAGGGAAATAAGAGATACAAAGTTGAAATTGCAAAATATTATTGCGTAAACAATAGCCAAAAAATAAACGTATAGAAAACTGATTGAAAAGGTTGAATAAAGTTTGCAGGTGATTTATTTTAACGGTCAAATCCATTCAAATCATCGGGGGACTATGGAAACCAGATAAATAACCATTACCGCAACTGATTTTCATTCCTATCGTTTAGAATATTTTATTGTGGAGCCAAGTTATGTCTAAAACTCCGCCTAGAGCAGCTCTGCGGCATAGGGTTGCTAACCCCAATGCCGTAGAAAAGTAACTCACTGACCAGAAAATATAATTCAAGCCATTTGATCTCTGTTTTGGGAGTTAGGAGGTCATTGTTTAGAAGAGTTATGACTTTTCATGATGAAAGCCGAGTTTCTTCGGAAGTTCCGAGGTCAGTTTCTCTTCTGACAACCAGAACAACCATTAATTTTAGGTAAACAGAATATCCGTACACTGAGGAAGACTGGAATAACTATTGAAGTTGCTGCGGAAATGAAAAGATGCAACCTGGTGGTACTTGGAATCAGCCAAACACAATGGACGTTTGTAGGGCAACAAAGATTAGCTCCAGGAAAGTCACTGTTATACTTCGGCAATGAAGAAGAAATTTCCAAACAAGCAAAAAAGCACTGATAGGATGGAAACCTCATAGATCCAGGATTATCAAAGCATTCTTCAAAACAAAAAAGAGGGCAGTCCAGTGAATATCATCCAGTGCCACGTGCACACCAATGATAACATTGAAGATGTTAAAGATCAATTCTATGAGAGGCTACAGTTAATCGTCTAGAAATGCCCACAAAAGGACTTCACTATTCCGACGGCAGACCTAGATGTCAAAGTTGGAATGGACAACACCGGTTATGAAGACACCATGAAACGACATGAACTGGGAGAAAGGAACGAAAATAGTTAGAGATTTAAAAATCTATGCGACTACAACAAACTGCTCATAGGTGGCACTATATTTTCACATAAACACATGGATTTCATTGGATCACACCATAAAGAACCGAATCGCCATCAGTTATAAGTTCAAAAGGACGAAGGAGGACCTAAGAACCAACAGAAGAGCCGACATAAATTCAGATCATCAACTTGTAGTGGTCAAGATGAAAATGACACTCAAAAAGCACTGGACAACAGGGCGGTGATACAGTCTTTTTTAGGGATACTGGCAAAATCAGTGAATTCAAGGTTGAAGACCTCAACAACAGATTTCAGATCTTGCACAGTCTACTCAATGGAGAGGACATTATCGTGAAGAATATATGGTAAGGAATCAAGGGAGCAAACACTCCAACAAGTTGTAAGTTTCTTGGCCACAAGCAGCGCCATCAAAAGGAATGCAACACAGTTGGTACACCAAATGATATTCAAAGTAGTAGAAACAAGAAGGCAGCAACCAATATCAGTCGAACAAGAGCAGAGAAAGCCAAAGCGAAAGCTGAATACATAGAAGCAAACGAATAGGTGAAGAAGAGCGTCAAAGCTGACAAAAGGTAATCTCTGGAAGATCTGGCGATGACGGTGGAAAAGGCTGCAAGTGAAGAGAACATGAGACTATTGTATAATGTAACAAAGAAGCTCGCCTGAAAGTCACCAGAAACCAGAAAGATCAGTGGAAACCAAGGAAGGTAGAGTGATCACCGACATTGAAAAGCAGTTAAGCAAGTGGGCAGAGCATTCTGAAGAACTATCCAATCGACCAGCCCCGATTAATCCACACAACATCGAAGCAGCACCCATAGACCTCCCAATCAATGTTGGCTCACAAACGATTGAGAGATCAGCATGGCTATCAGACAAATCAAGAGCGACTAAGCAGAGGAACTAGACATCATTGCCGCTAAGGGACTGAAATCAGACGTACTAGTAACTTCAGAGATACTTCATATTCTCTTCAGTGAAATTTGGGATGAAAAACAACTGCCAATAGACTGAAGACAAGGACACGTGATCAAGACACCAAACAAAGGCGATCTCAATTAATATGAGAACTACAGAGGCATCACTCTATTGTCAGTACCAGGGAGTCTTCAAAAAATGTGCTGTTGAATAAAATGAAGGACTCCAAAGACCCTCAACCACTAGATCTGCAGGCTGGATTTCGTAACGACTGATCGTGTACCGACCAAGTGGCAAAAGTATGGATTATTCTGGGATAATCATTTGGATAGAGCTCATCACTGTACATCAACTTCATTGACTATGAAAAAGCATTTGATATTTTGAACAGTATGAAACTAAGCAAGTTAAATTCTCCTCAGTGATCTATCGTATACTTTCGTCATTTTTGGCGTTCGACCACCTCTTCTACATATAGCAAAAGCTATAGAAATTCAAACATTCAACCTCCATTTGTACTTAGAAGAAATTCGTGATTCCCCTATCTCATCCTTAGTTGATGAAGTGGTAATATTTTATTTTAATTCCGGTATCTGTTAGTCATTTTTCCGCCTTCTTGTGTTTATAATATTTATTATTTGACCGTAGAATTCTAATAGTGCTTTAAGATTCTTGTTTTAAGTCTGTTAATTGAAATTTGACCTCATACTTTCAATGCTGAACTATTATCAAAATATTCATTAGTTCATTTGATTATTCCCACTACTAACAGTTCATCTGTCTTCCCATTGTCAACTATTACTTTTATATATTACGTGGAGTTGCGTAATCTGTTTCACTGTGACTACTGACTCATAAATTGCCTTGATTAGTTACGTTCACTGACACTTTACGAACAAAATAGGAGTGGTAATAACTTATGATTCAGTTTGAGAAATAAGTGGATAGACGGTTGTCCTTCCTTGAATATTTGTCAGAGAGTAACTGATTATCTTATATCTGCATGCAAATCACTGACAAAAACTGCTGTCATATTTTATGTTCTTTCTAGAAATTACAACATTCATGATGATATTAGATATTTGCAAAAACTCAACTAAAAAGCCATTACTCATAATTTCAGTTCTTTTGCTCACTGATCATCGTTTATAACTCTTCATTCAAACAATTAATAGCCTCCATGTGTGATTATTAGTATAATTCCTGCAGAAATACTAAACGGAAGTGTTAAAAAGATCAGGAGGCCTGAATCAGGCAAAAGTCAAAACTTTCTACCTTTATCGTTCATCAGTGCACAGTATCTATTTGTGATACTGTGAGAGTCACAATAAGCACTCACGATTAATGTAATTAGGCGAGATAAAAAACCATGTACCGTTGAGCGGTATCATGGGCCTAATTCTAATTGCCGAACAAATTAGCATTTACAAGAACGTCCTAAAGAAAGAGTGATATTTAAGGGACAGCGTCAAAATTTTTATTAGGCATGGCTACGCAAAATCCATATATTTGGTCAATATTTAAAACGAGGATCAGAGTACCTACATGAACAGTTATAAGGTAAGCAACTTAAACTAATTAAAGATCTAACACTTTATAACCAGATTAATTGCGAATTTTAAGTCGAAAAACCAAGGAAAGATTCCGTCTTTGCACAAAAGTGTAAAATGGCGAAATCTGAGTAGAAATGGCTCAATAAGTACACAATATATGACTATCGCAGAAAAGGGCTTACTTGGTGAAAAATATGAATGACACCCTAATCCTTTGGGCAATGTCAAACGTTCGAGCATTTTATTTCTGTAAATTAAACATACATCATTTTTCACCTAGAGTAAAATAATAGATATTTATCTTATGAACTTTAAACTTTACGCCTCCGTTTATCGAATTCAAGTTATTTACTCTAATAGTACGCAAATTGAACTGTTCAGCACCACGACTTGGCTTCAGATAGTTTTCTTGTAAATCTAAAACTTATAATTTACTGTAATTCTTACAATTTCTGTCAGAAAAACATATAGTTTCACCGTATTCACTCCTATTATATGCAGCATTTGATAAAAAATAAAGCCCCTTCGGGATGCACTTTCTAGAATCATAAGAGTCCCTGGAAAAATGAGCGGAAATAGTAGATACTCTTCTGAATAAGTGCAGGCGGAGAAAGAGTTATTTTGGTCACTACAACAGACTGTATCACATTGACAGAGTTTATCACAAACACGGGGCCTGATATCGCATAAACACACACCACCTTTAAACATGACAAAAAAATTTTAGCATTGGTTACCGTTTTCAGTTGGTTGAACGAAGTCTATTAGACAAACTAGAAATAAAAGTGGTGGTCGCAACATAACAGTTGTATGTTACACTAACAACGACCTTGAGGTTGTAAACTAAGACAAATTCTATATGTCCAGTTTAAGTCTGTAGAAGGTTGGATGTTAATCTTGACAATGGAAATCTCTTAATTGATCCGACCTTCTTTCAAATTATTGAACGAAAGGAATTTCTATAACACGTGGCGGTAACGAGTTCTATTAGTTGACGATTCGACTAACGAACAGTAAGCCTTCATATGATTTCCTCAGGCACTTTAACACATTTAAGAGTTTCTTAGTACATTTATTGTTTTGAAAGACAAGAAAACTTAATGAATATCAGATGCAACTATATCATTCAGTAATTTAAAGAGTGAACAATTCAACACTCTTCCTTCCAAATGACGATGTATATGGGTTCAGTTTAGCTAGGTTCTCGTCGAACAACAGCTACGCGATTTAGACAATTAATTTGGATTTACTTCTTCTGACTTCTTCTATTATCTTACTCTTTTTTAGACCTAGGCTAGGTGCTTGTATGCTATACTCACTTTGGATGACAGAACAAAATAAAAAGTCAAAAACGTTCCAGTATTGATTTAGCTAAAGGCCATAGATACTGACCGAAGCGTTCTGAAACTTTTGATATCTATCACACGGCAGTGCACAGGGTTTTAAAGTTTTGTCTTACTAACCATAGATCATTGTTTATCTGGGTTACTGGCAACTAGATGATATTCACCGCATATTTATCAGTACCTTGAGAACCGATATACATGAAAATGCACCTTGAAGCACATATCTATAGCTGCCTGGTACCAAACAAATTAAGTATTTTCACCCTGTCATTTTGAATATCTTAAATATCACCTACTTATTCTGTTGATCTTAATCTCTTGATATTATCATCAATTAAGGAAATAATGATAAGAGGAGACTTGAAAGGCGACTTCCATATGAGGAAGATTGAAACTGGTACCAACACAGCACCAGAAGATACTCCATGAAGCATGATTTTCTAATTAGACAACTTGGAATGAGCCCGTACTGTTTGTTGAAGGGAGAATAGAAGACCCTTTATCCTCAGGAACTGTATTCGATCCCGATGTCACTAAACCTGGATAGCAGTCGGTTGTGAGCAAATTAGTAAAAGTTCCACTTAGGTTAGAGTAGGCTAAAATATAATGGTAGCTTCTGATCTTATGAGATGAATAACCAGTTGTGTAGCATTTCGAGATTTTGAGAAAGAATGGGCTTCTCATCTTGATATTTCAACAAGTCTTTAATTACATGGTTTTCTCAGAAACCATACTAGTAAGAATTTTAAACTGATAGGTTTGGGTCTATATCATGTTTCTGGTAGCATATTTACACCATTCATATTAACCACTGAAATAAAATTTAATTATGGGAATATAAGTAGGAAGAAGGAAGATCTGTGGAGCGTGTCAAGTGGATAGAAGAGAAGTTGAAGTAAGATTTCAGTTAAAAGGGTAGAGTTTGTAAAAAAAGCCTTGATAATTAAAATGTTTACTCTATCTAACTGTTTTTTATCGAACGCCAACCTCTAAGTCATACTGTGGGCGCCTGAGTAAGCATGTTGCGGGTGTTTCGCAAAAATAGCGACCTCAGCATACTTTTGGAAACATGAGCCTCAGATATAGTGGGCGTATAAGAGCGACCTCAGTGCTACTAATTAGTCGCCTCATTAATCGAAAGAGCGGAAAGTAAACAAAATGTTCTGCCCCACAAACAGGGGTAGTTTGAATTCATCGCCCACACCAACCTGTGTCAAGTTACAGATCAACGAACTATACATGGAGGGTTCTAGATAAAATTTGCTAGCTTTTTTTGACTTTCAAAATGCATTCCAACATTTTCTTATATATCTAACTGTTTCAGACTTATTTGATGGGCTAAATTCATCTACTAGCTTGGCCAGGAGCCCTTACTAATAACCGCGTGTTCCTATGCAGGATAAAGGAAGAGCGTTAGGCATTGAGTAAGCCACATGATACCGTGGATAGCCATTTCAGTCAAACAATGTGTCATGCATGCCCGTAAACACGTCATTTGATGTGCTTGAACTATCATGAGTTTACCTTAGTCGGAAAACTAGGGTGAGGATCGAGGATTCGATGACAAGATATGCTACTCTAATCCGAGTGTCACAAACCCCCGATTGAGTAACAGACGAAGACTTTTTATGAAGTAGAACATGTATTCTACAAGCATTCAGAGAGTACGAGGTCCGAGTTCAGAAGAGAATGTGGATCCGGAACCAAAGATCACGGTCCGGATCATAAAACATTACAGATAATGCGTATTTATACATTTAGGTAGAATAGGGAACAACACTGAGGTCTGTGAAGTTCATAGTCTGGACGACCAATAGGAATTGCTCCTACGAACAATTAGGACGATTTTTCGGAAAAAACATTTGAAGTGACATTGATAGCTCGAACGATCATTATATTCACCGTTAGGAATCGACCAATAGAATCAGACGTAAAAAAATCGCTTGCGATATTCGATGAATATCCCAGTACAATGCTAACCAAAAATAGTCTGCATTGATTAAACAAGCGTTTTCAACGCACAGCGCTTAATTATGACAAAGAACTCGAGTAATGGAGAAGTATAATCAACCTTTGAACCATCCCAAAGGTCAGGATCTATAAACAGAAACATGATGAATCTGTAATCGGTAGAGTCATACTTTCATCTTATGAGCCCAGCACCTCCTATGCACAAGTCTTGCTATCACCAACCGAAACTCTGTATGAGAACCCCCTATCTGTTCATTTGATGCCTGTAGAGGGAGACTCTTAGACACCTGAGGCACAATACTAACATATATCGAAAAGTCAACACAGCATAAACATCCGTATAATCTTGTAAGGCCAAAAAATACAAGTTCGTAAACCAGGGTGTCGAATCATCTATCCAATATGGATCACCGTGGCAACGATATACGGAAGCTACCAAACTCATCCCCTCAATTAACAATGACCTGAAATACACGGCACCCCTCAAGCTTATCTGGGCCTCGAATAATGATGGAAAGCTGGAGGAACTAACCGAAGCCGAGTAAATCCTAGAGTTTGTAGTTTAAGAAGTTACGAGAAGAGTAAGGTCCTCCTACAATGCGACTTCATTTAACCTACGTGACCGCACATCCCTAACTAAGCCGAGGTATATCTGTTCTCAAGCCTGTGTTATGCCGAGCGTGAGTTGTCAGAAGAACATCCGATAAAGCGACATGCACCCTTTGTTCACATTCGACTTATATAACGACATTAAATAATTTATCCATTGGAGTAAAAATATTAGCTAATCAATCCCATATAAAATCATGCAGGTTGCTCCAGATCTAATGCCTTGTCAGCGTTGTAAAAAACAAGTGACAAGATCGCATGACTGTGTCCCAGCAAAAAATCTACTAAAGAAAACTACCAATGTCATCGGGAAATATAACGATCTTTAAATATAAGGGTTATCATATAAGGGAAAGGAAAGGGTAAGGAGCAGAACCATAAACATTCATGATCAAAGCTGAGTCATGATTTCACGTATTCTTTTTGTAATGAAATATTGAGGGTGTGATTATGCAGGCCTCCCTTTTACTGTGTTAGATCAATAACTGCATACCTGCATTAATGTAGGTTAATGAAGAGCATTCGCAGGTAAGTTTACAAATAGGCAAATGATTATGTGAATATTGGAGATTCGAAAAAGATTAATTATTGTATATATAATGATGAGGGCGCAGCTGTTTGACGCTTTGGCTATATTTCATGACAGTCGTGACAAAGAGCTTGTGATACGATTTCCAAGTAGGTAGTGAAACCAGTCCAAGATTACAAACATGAGTCAATCACTCAAACTAGACAAATTTAGTTTCAGTTAATTAGAATATATATTTATGTAGCATATTACACTGTTATCAAGCTGTATAAAGGTATAACTTGTAAGGTATGGGTCAGCTGAAAGGTAATTTGCAGATGGAAATGGCAGGGAGCTGAAGAAAGAAAATGAAGAAAAATAATGTTAAAAGTTTATGAGTGAGGCGATAAGTAAGTAAAACATCTAGTAGTTTGAGTACTAACAAATATTAATTACCTGTTAGCACATGAACGAGAAGTAAATCACAATGATACAAGATAGTTTGGGTTTCTTGTGATTGACGGTAGTTGAGCAGCATCTATAGACATTTTAATTTATCTGTCTACTTGAAATAAAAGCTGAAAGCGCTGTTAAAGATAAGAACATCATGATGCGAATTCAAATAATAAGGAAACGACGAATATTGGGGGTAGGAGCATAAAAGCGTGCCTTACTACTGTTAGTTGGGGTAAGGTAATTTGTCTATCTTTTCGTCATACCTGTATGGATTGTAGTGGAGCTGCGGAGTATTCGTTGTCTGTTCATAGTTTTGGTGCTAGTAGTGTACACGCGTTGTTTGTGAGTCTCTCTAAAGGCTCATGGCTTATAAGTAAGGGGGGGGGCGCTACAAATTTTATTATCAAAAACACGTGAATTATCGCTAGCAGGAAAGTAAACAGATTACTCATCTGAACTTGCTACTGATCACCTGAGTTACTAATTGCTGCTTCCACTGTCAATGAATTATGAACTGTTACAATCTATGGTTATTCTGACGAATAATCTTACGGAATTTCGTCCTTTCAAATTATTAAAAGTTTGTACACTTAATGTGTTATAATAATAATTATATAATTGCCTTAGAGGTAAGTGAAACAGGCTTATATAGAAACGTCGGATCTTTTTATAGATTGTAGGCATCTTTTGTGATGTGCGAAGGGAAACAAGCCACAGTTTTAACATAATTGTTAACCTTCCTGGTTTAGATCAAAGCATATCTAAATAGTCTCCAAAGATATCCCAGTTTTTGCTTCATAGCGATTCTGAAGTGATAATCGACAGTAAATGCATTTTCTGTTCAAACTGGTTACACCTCCAAACATCCAATACTTACTCTCAAAGTCACGTGTGGAACCTAACGGAATTCAGTAAGATATCGGTGAGAACAAACGAATGAGCTTTTCTGTACTCTCAGGAGTACAAACCGCGAGGGCATCTGTGTTCTTTGCTGAAAAAAATTACCCATTAGCGACCTGCAAGGTCAATACTACTACTCAGGTCTAGTGTCAGTCAATGGTCTTGAGAATATTTGACTTGCGCTTGGGTAAGACATCAGTAAACTTAAATCTCTGTGCCCAGGAAAGTCACCGGATAGTGAAAATTTTTGCTCATTAAACTTGAAGCCTTGTGAGGTCATGTGACAGCTACCACTTTCCAAACACCCTGCCGCCATGAGACAAACTTACTCAAATAATGCGACATTCAATTTCTTGAAGAACTGATGACTTAATGCAGTCTTTGTCTAGAATATCATCCAGTGGTCATTACTAAGTACTTGAAACTTTACCGGCACAAAAATAAGCGAATCGAAAGAAATCAGTTAGCTAGGGGAAACACATTGGACATTGGAGGCGTGGAATCTTACAGTCTAAAGGAATCATTTTTGCATATAAATTTCACGTGAACTGTATTGATCAACACGAAATATATATGTTATAAAGGAATTAAAATTGGAGAACAAATATGACCGTGTACTTCAGAAGTGTTAAGGAACTCGTTTGTACACATCGAGTACCTATACCTACTGAACCTTGTAAACAGCGGCAATATCATCTTCACTGCAACTTCCCGTGGAAATGGGGACGCTTGCTGCTGACGAAAAACAACCGTTTTTGATCGAGAAAGCAGTTTCAAATCATACTAAAAGAGATACCGATCCATGGTACAAGAAGCCAGTTTGGAACACTGACGAGAAAACTAAGCATATGATGGGGCGCACTGTGTGTGGATGGGGTTCGTTGGTTTCCTATTGACTTCAAAATTATTTTCTAGTTAAGTTTTGGTTGCATTACCTCATCTTGTATATATGCTTGCTCACTATAATGACTGGATTGCTGATAATAATAACTCAGCTTATCATCAGTAATGATCAACCTTACATAACTGGAATGGATAGTCCGCTTGCACTTTCACCAGGTTTGTTTTCATATGTTTTAATTTCAGTTACTTTTTGCACTTCATTCTTTGTCGATAAAGCCATTATTACTTTTAAATTAAACCTGTAGTATATAGTCATGGTCTAGAATTCCTGAATTTTCAGGCGCGTGTAAGTTGAAACAGTTGAAATACTTATAGACGGTATAGAAGAAGGCTTAGTTTAAAAATTCTCCTTATCTGATGATAGTGCATCACTGACGCCTCCAAGCAGGAACCTAAGTACATATAACGAGGAACACAAGTTTTAGTAAACCAAAATGAAATGCAGGGACTCAGCATAAGTTTGTTTTTAGGGAATGTTCAGAAGTGTCTGGAATGCTCAGGGTCATTAGTAGCTCATCTTTGAGACGTCTTTACTCTAACCAGTAAAAATCCAGAGACCTGAGGAGCTTTTCACAAGGTTTGATTTCGAGTCTTCAAACTGATTTCATTGCTGACTTTCAGATTCGTTCCAGAATATTCTTTGGAGTAGGTTAGGATCCAATCAACCTGGTAGAGAATAAGTCTAAAACTCTACTTTAAGACTGGCCAGAAGTTTACTTCGACGTTGCTAGTTCAAAGTTTACCAAAAAGGCATTTTTATCACCGATAGAGCAAGACCAAAGATTGTAGGATATGAAGAGTCATATCTTTTTAAACTTGAGAAACTTCTGTAGGGGAGTTCCTGAACTTGCATATGTAGTCAGCCACATGTTTCAAATGGACTGATTTACATTTTGAAATGGCCAAAGGTGTGAATGTTGGATATATGTGAACAAATCGATGGAAACAGAAGATGAACCTGAAAAATAATACGTAATAAATTAGCCGTTATGCGACTAACAAAAAACATTTTTATTCGGTAAACATCGCTTTTAAAAGAGCTTTGGAGCAGAACTTGTATTCATCTTGCGACCACAGATCAATATTTTAATTGTGTTAATTTCATGAGAAATGTGAGTGATAGACAGAAATGAACAGCTGTGAGATTTGTTGATATTTTATCTCGTCATTAACCATATTTGAATGTAATAAATTGGCAACTTGGTGTTTATATATATATATATATATATATATATATATTTGATTTCTGATTGTAACGGATGAAACTGCCTTAAGTAACAGCTATCCTAGATACGCTTATTCCAGTTTCAACGTGACTTACAGAAACTAAGTGATTTGTTCTCAAGTTTTTGGTTTGCAAGTCACCTGTTTATTCAATGTTACGTTTATTGTGGAAGTACACTTTCATGAAATGATTTTGAAATAATTGCTGCTCAAGATAAAGATATCGGTGTTATGATCTCCTGGATGGATGTGTTGATATTAATAGTTTCATTGTCCTTATGAGAATAATTACGTATTTCAAGGAGAAGCGAGCTGTCAGAATTCCTTTACATTTGACTGCAGCAAGTTTTATTTGGTTATAAACCATAACTTGTGGTAGTTGTCCGCATGTTTGCTGTTTCATTTTTTTCATTCTCAACTGACATCTAACACTGCATTTGCTAATCTCTTTCATTGCTTATCGATAGATTTGTAGTGTGTTATAATGCATCGAGCCCACATAACTTGTCCTAGCCTTCACAGCCAATCTTCTCGGTTTATGATTCATTTTTATTTTTACCTTTTCAATCATTCATTTATAGTTTTTAGTTGTTTTTATTTGTGTGTGTGCACTGCTTGCCTCACTTATTACATATCTGACCCATTTTTGTCTGATTATAAATACTCATCCATGCCTAATCAATGCATCTGGCTCATTAGCCTTCTCTACTTCACTTTGCTTGGCTTCACTTTTGAGCTTATCGTTATTGTCTGTCTGTTAACGAGAATGTATGAAATAAATTCACCCAACTCACTTTTTAATTAGCTTTCTATTTCGCTGTCGATCAAACAGGATTATTCAAAGACTGATATTCGGAAGTTGTTGAAATAATTATTTCATTGCTCGTTCAGTTATTCGTACGCATCTGAGTTAGATGCTGGACTACTAAAGATTTATTTGATTTTGATGTACCTATCGATTGATGATTGAACGAAGCAACAAGCTTTTAAAAATTCTATTGCTCTCTTTGTTATCCCCATACTAGTTGAACTCATGTATACAGTTTTCATCATGCACTGATATAAATGACGATAATTTGTGTCGTTTCTTTTCCCGAACGTAGCTGCTACCTTGACGTGGTGGTCGGGCTTGCCTATCGTGATTACCCAACCGAGCTATACTGCCTGGAACATATGTTCCTGCACGAGACCATATTGGTAGAAATCAAATCCTTCCTACACCCTATAATATCTCTCTTCTCTCCACAACTAACTCTACTTACATTCCCTTATCTGACTGCACCGCCAATGCAAACGAATCGAGTTCACGAAACATCATTCCTGGTATCGTGAAACCTCGTTCTAGACTACATGTTGGAGCATTTAATGTACGGACATTATGTCAAATAGGGCAGGCAGCATCATAACCTAGGACTTAAGAATCTCGTGCCATCGATGTATGCTGCGTCTCGGAAACGCGCATACAGGATCCTAGTAAAATTATTAATCTGATTTCACCTTGTCAAAATAAAGAAGCAGCTCGATTTAAGTCGTAGAGCTGAACAATCTCTCCTTGACTGGATCCCAGTAGATAGTCACTTGTGCGCTGTCCGACTAAAAGGGACAGTAAGGACTCGGAAAGATAAGGACAATTGCCGTTGCCTCTTCATCGTATCTGCCTATGCCCCCACTGATTGCACTTCAGACGAGGTTAAAGATGAGTTTTACAGAAAGCTTTCGGACCTCCTCCAAAAAGCTAGGCGCTATGATATAGTAATAATGGCTGGTGACTTTAATGCTCAAGTAGGTAGACTAAGTGAAAATGAAAGACACCCTAGGTGGATGTTATGGTGTCGCGGCTCAGAGAACAGACAATGGCAACCGTCTGTTGCAAGTATGCTTAGACAATCGCCTATTCTTAGCAAACACTAACTTTAGGCATAAGGAAAAACATCTGTCGACCTGGCGACGTCGAAAGTCGTCTCGACGCTGGACCTAACTAGATCACATCATCATTAGCCACCGATGGAAGGGCTCGAAAAGAGGACTGTTGCTCGTTCTAGAGCACATGTTTAGATTCAGATCATGCCTTAGTGCGAGCTCGTATTCGTTTGCGCCTTAGTGGGCGTAGGAAACACACCGTAAGAAAGCCTCTTAGAGTTTTATTTAATGATGATAGGGCGCAGAATATATTTCAAGAACAACTAGAAAGACAGTTAGGCGACCACTTAAGCGATTCCTATCCGAAGGCAGGTTGGAATGATATCAAAAAGGCTGTGGAAACAGCAGTGATATCTGCTCGTAAGGTTGACCTTAAGGTTAGAATGAAGTCGTGGATCTCAGTAGCATCCATCGATCTGATGGATGCCCAAAAACTCATCTCACCTGACTCTGAACATGATGAAGAACGAAGTCAGCTTAAGCGCAGGCTGATTAAAAGCATGCGCAGCGACCGTGAACAGTGGTGGGCGGCGAGAGCAAATGAAATGGAAAAGGCAGCGGCGATCGGCAACAGGAGACAACTTTTCTGACTTATCAAGGAAACTGGTATTAGGAATCCTAGTGTAAGTGAGACTATCTCGGAAAAGGATGGGACTATTATTTATTCTTAATCCAGGAGACTGGACCGATGGGGAGAACACTTTAGGGATCAATTCAACTGGCCTCAAGCCACTCTTCGGTTACCCACGATCTCCAGTCATCCTGACTGGCAAATCGACGTAAGTCCCCCTAGTCTTAATGAAGTTGAAAAAGCGTTAGGAAATCTGAAGCAAGGGCGAGCTGCAGGTCCTGATCGACTGACCCCTGAGATATTTAAGGATGGTGGTCCAGTTTTAGCAGCAAGGTTGACTGAGATCTTATGTAGAATCTGGGAACTGGACGTAATCCCATCCGACTGGTCTCAATCACTGATTGTCTCAATTTATAAGAAAGGAAAAAAGTCTTCTTGTGACAATCAAAGGGGAATCAGTCTAATTAATATAGTGTCTGAAATTTTGGCCTCAATAATACTTCGACGCTTAACGAAAGCTCGTGAAGAGCAGACTAGCGAAAACCAGTCTGGTTTTCGACCCAGACGTGGTTGCATAGATCACATTTTCACACTACGACAGATACTGTAACACATACACAAACTTAGGCGTCCGACAGTAGTTGTGTTCTTGGACCTTAAGGCAGCATCCGACTCTGTTGATCATGAGTTTCTGTGGCACTGTTTGTCATTGAAAGGTGTATCAGAGAAGTACAATAAGCTTATACAAGCACTCTACTCGAACACCACTGGTCGAGTGAGAGCTTATGGCTAACTGTCACCGGAATTCTTTACTTCAAGTGGTGTCCGTCAGGGCTGTCCACTCTCTCCATTCTTGTTTAATTTTATCATAGACATGCTCCTAGATATAACCTTATCTTCGTCTGAATTTTCGGGAGTAGACCTTTTACCAGGAGGCTCGCTTATTGACTTAGAATATGCCAATGACATAGTCCTACTTGGTGAAGACGCTGACAAAATGCAGAGTCTTCTGACTACCCTGAACAACAATGGAAGCAAGTTCGGGATGCGGTTTTCCCCGTCGAAATACAAAATGTTGCTTCAAGATTGGGTTGCATCGGCACCTGAACTAGTGATAG